CTTTCCTGCTCACTTTGTGCTGATCAGCAGCCCAGTCCAGTTATCTTGGAAAGCCACATTGTAAAACACATTCAATAATTACTGTTTGCTGCTACAGAAACAGAATTAAAACTCAGAGGTGGTTGGTTTCAGTAGACCCCTCATGGCCACAACAGGGCTTTTGTAGGTAAGGTCATTAATTCTTAAACCATCTGAAGTTTGTTAAATATCACTCAGGATGCCGGAAAAGTCACACATGACTAATTCTTTCTGGGTTATTGCAGTGTGTCAGCTAGAGTTGAGTTACTGTACATATGCATCGATCGCCGTAGTGATATCTTTTTCTAGTCATCTGCCTTAGGACAAGTTATATGCGAGCTTCCTTATTAATACATTTACAATAATAAATCACCCAGTTTTGTCCTTGTCTGACACCTTTTACTTGAACATCCTCCAAGTTCAGTGTAAGTCTGTGTACATCAAAAGGTTTTCACTTCTTTAAAACCCTGCAGTAAAATGTCCTGAATTTTTATCTTTGGCAAGGTGCATACTTGAGGGACCACTCACAGTAATGTGCTGAATGATTGCCAGTGTAGTACTATTACCTGCTTTGGCAAGACTCGAACACAACCCATCAAAAAGGAAGTGAGTCCAGCCAAGACCATCCAGTCTTTTTAAGTACATACAGCTACTAGCAGGATCCTGGAGAGGCACTCATACTTTGTGCTAATTAGCTTGTCAACAAGCAAATGACTTCCTTTCATCACAGCTTGAGAGGAAATGGGGTTCAAGTTTGGCGGTGTCCACTGCCAAAGTGCCTGACTATGCAACAGTCACCTAAAATATCATCTAACATCTGAGCTATGTTGAGCTTTTTTTCTTGCCTGAATGTGAGGATAATTCTTTGATTTGTCTCAGCTCTACATAACATTTTAGCCTCTCTTAGTGAACTGATTTGATGTGACTGTCTGCAGCTTAACTTTTACTGCTTTCATCATTCTTGATTCCAGCTATAGCAGGCAGCTTTAGTGAAAAAATACTGATAAATCAACGTTTCAACTTTTCTTGTTGCTAAGTCTTCTTGTTAGTGTTAGGATATTTTTGTATTTTCCACTGTCAGATTGTAGAGTATTTATCTACCTTTGAACATTTATTTTGCTGTTTACATTGAAGTTAATACTTTCCCCTCAGTGTGTTAACATTTTTCTTTGCGCTGCCACCTAGTGCTTACAGTATTTTGGCATACTAGTGCTTCAAGTTAGTAAGTTAACATCTTTGTAGTGTGTTAAATGGCTAAGTGTGCTTATACATATGATGAAGCTTGAACTAACTTACACAATGCAAAGCACAAGCTTGACAGTCTGAACCTGATATGTTCTTCAATGGCCACTGACAACAGACAGTTGTTAGATGGATAGAATACATTCAGCTATCACCTCAGATAAGAAGAATATACTCTCAAACATGCTAGTCTGGGTTTTTAGGGCAAGTTGTTTTTCCTGGAATGACACCTTTTACCGCTGCCCATTCTTTCTTCACACTCGCCCCCTCTTCTTTCTGTGTTCCTTTTTCCTCCTCTCTCCACCTTCTCATCTCTTCTGTTGTTTAACCTTTCATTGTGCTGCTCACTTGCCTTTAGCCAAGATATTCCTGGCAAAGCCTTCATCTTGATTCTTGAACAGTGATGACAAACAAATAAACAACAAAAACAGAGTAAGTGATGATGGAATTTAGAATCTTCTCCTCAAAAGAATTATTGTAGGGAGATATGAGAATAGGTTCTTTATGTATGTGTGTTTCTGATTTAACAGACAGGATGTGCCTGTGGGACTGCATAGAGCATGTTCTTTGTGCTGAGTTAGCAGATAAGCTTTCAAGCTGGACCAGTCAACTTATAAATGCAGCAAACAGTATGTAATCGTGTGTGAGAGAAATAGTGTGTGAGAAAGGGATGTACAGTAAGATAGAGTGAGCAGCAGTATCACAGGGCTCAGAATACTATGCTTTCTACTTATTTGTTACTCACTGTTCAGAAGTCACACTCAAATCATGCAATTTCTTTGACTTTTTATCTTTTCCACACCTTGATTTGTATTTGTAGAGAGCAACAAGAGAAACAACACACTGTGCAGGCAGACAGGCTGAAATGTACTGCACTTTGAAAACAAGAGGAGCAAAAACTGCAGGGTGTCGAGTGATGAACTCGATCATAGATGATGAAGCACTAAATGTGATTTATTTATTTCTTTAGCCAGCCTCTGTGAAATTAAATTCATAACTCATAACTTCAATTAAAATCAGTTGGACGTTATTTTAGTAATTCTTTTAGGCTTTTTCAACTTGTTTTGATGTGAATTCCAGCCTGGATTAATTTAAATTGTGAAAACATAGACAGTGTGTTGCCTTTTCATACTTGAATGCCACTTTCCATGCAGTACATGCTAAATGAAAAAATCTGACCTTCAGCTTTGGCATAAAGCATGATTTTGAATATTATTATACTGATAGCAACAGCATACAGAAAAAATAATAGGTTTTATTTCCTTTCGTAATCCTTTTATGTGGTGGTGGTAAAAACAAAAATACAGAAAAATAAAAATAAAAAACACTTTTTGAGAAATAGTGCCCTGTAGAATGTCGTGATCAGACCCAGAGTCCTCGGCCCCAAAGAGATCAATTAACTGTGAACCACAGTGATTCACATGGTGCATGTCTTCCTGTGATCTGCCTTCCTGTGCTGGTTCAGATTTCCTGCACATCTCACATCTCTCCTGTAGTCAGACAGGCCTCTCTGACAGGCAACACTTCTCTCTGTAACCTCCTCTGACAGAGTGAGAACATATCCATCAAACAGAGGCTACTGCGACAGACAAGCTTGCCGCTAGACATCCTGTAAGACCGTGCTGTGTTCCTCTGTGCACAGCTTTGCCTTTATTTCATTGTTTGACATTCTTTTTGACTTTTTTCCCCATCATTTCCTTTTTCTCTTTTTCTTCCAGATCTATGTTTTTGCTACTCTTAAATTTGCTTGTTCTCTCTAATGCAAACGCTGTCCATTTCACCCAGAAGTAAGAGTGAAAGGTTACAGCTGAGATGATTTATACCTTTTTCTTGCATAAACCTCTGTGTCATCTGCTTGTCTCCACAGATGCACAGTGCCCATCCTTACAAGTGGATGAGTGGAAGTTTCCTCAGATGGCCAGGCACAATATCACAGGTGAAAAGACAAGCTCAAACAGACACATATCCTTCACTGTGTTTTATTTATGTGGGTGCTGATGTATGCCATTTGTTATCAGGTTTTAATCTGGTGAGACGATTCTCCCTGCTCAAGAGTAAAGATGTCAAGAAGATCCGCAACCCTCGAGGACCTGTCATTCTCCGCTTGGGCAAGGCAGCATTCCTACGCCCCACTGAGTAAAACTCTTTTGTACATTGTGTCTGCTTTTTTTCAAGCACCTAGACAAACACAGCTTTATGTGGTTGAGAAAATAGTACATGAAGGGAAAGAAGATTAATTTGTAGGCCTATGTTGACACACTTTCTCTTCTCATGACATGTCTGAACAAAGAGAAAGGCAGAGGGACTCAACACCCTACAGCTAATCATCTTCTGAACCCTGAACTTGGTGTGTTAGTGCTGTCCAGCGGCTGCTGTGTAAAAAGGAGACACTTGGCAAGCTGCACATCTTGGGTTGTACTCTGATTACATTACTAGAAGTACCGCTTCATTTCCCTCAGCACTGACACTGGTGTAACACTGGCTGCAACTGCCTTTTGGTTTTCCATTTGTGAATGCATATACAGTACTCACTGTAACTAGTTTTATATGAAGTTGCTTGAGCCTATATTATAGGAATGATGCCTTAATTATCAGGCAAGATGTTGCCAATGAAAATAAAAAAGTTAGAAGGGTTTGAATTTAATGGCTGCATTTGAGACCCTGGGCTTGCTCTGAACTTATTTCTGAGCAAGGCAAACAAAGCACAGTGTGCTTTCACAACATGACTTTGTAACTTGACATGGCGTAATTATCCTTTCCTGGGTTTTCATGTCGTTATTACACAGTAGTTGGGTGTAGATTGTGTTAAGAATTGCATGACAAGTGCTTATTAGTGTTATGTTCTTGCTGTCTTTCAGTTCTTTTTGTTGTTTGTTTCATGTTTCATTTCTTGTGAATTATAGTTTCTGACAGCTGAGCTTCTTATAAACCACTGATAAAGCAGTTTTTCTGAACTCGCCAAATGGGTCAGCCTGGAATACTCTTATCACTCTGTCCAGCTCTGTGAGCTCCATTCAATTGAAGGTTTGATAAATCTGTCTACAAAAATGCTCTTTTTCACTCTCTCGATCTTTACACATTGGTTCTAAAAGTGCCACCTAAAGTATATTCTGTCACAGGCTTAGGGAGTAGTTGTTCTTTTGAAAAGGATGGGTGGGGAGCACTACCGACACATTTTAAGAAATCAGTATATTTGGAGCCAAAGAGGAAAATCCAAGATGTTATTGTTTTGCCTCTAACCATACACAGAGAGGACAGGCTGCTTTGGGATTTTGCTATGATCCTGCAGTTACTGAAGATTTGATGCCATCGAGAGCTTTTCTGTCACATTTATCAGTGAAGAATGCTACCTGTGTTGTGGAAAAATTATCTTTTAAAGCTCAGTGAGTGTAAAAGAAATACTTAACATCAAATCTGAAAGTTATTATACATTTATTTTCTGCAGAAAAGGAACAATCTCTACACAGAATGTTAAAGCAGTCTGAGGGTAGACGCTCAAATGAATAGAATACTCAGCATACTATGACAGAAAACCAATGCTCAAACAAGATATATACAATGGGATACCAGCCCTTTGGTCCCAGGTCACATCTGGTTTTTCTCTCACAAGAGCATGCAAAGGTTTATGATCATGCAAAAAACATCTAGTAATAGACTACAAGGTAAATAAACACTAAAAGGGTACTATCATAAAAATGCCACTACATTCCCCTCCTGATTAAACATTAATCACAACAGTTCATACAAAAGTCTTCTTAGGAACATATCAAATTTATCATACCGAAAAGGTTTAAGGTAATAATAATAATAACCTAGAAAAAAAACCAAACATACTGTTTTTGTGATACAAACAATCATGAAGCACAAACAAAGAGGAGGATGACAATAATAATAATAATAATAATAATAACCTTTATTTATATAGCACTTTACAACTCCTAGGGGCACAGAGTGCTGTACAACAGAGCTGGAGTAGCCAGTGAACACAGTAGAAAAAAAAACAGTAACAAGTAACAGAATAAAACACTAAAACATCCTTATAACAGAATATACATAGCATTACACAAAAAGAGGTCTCTTTGGGCAAATAAAAGCAATTTAAACATTGAACGCCTGTTTGAAAAGGTGAGTCTTTAAAACTGATTTAAAAGTCACTAGTTCGGTTACACATCGTAGCTCTTGAGGTAAAGAGTTCCAGAGTCGAGCCATACACAGCGAAAGAACGGTCACCCCATTTCTTATAACGTGACCATGAGACCACCAGGGCCAAGTGCCCTGAGGATCGCAGAGCTCTGAGTGGAGCATAAATGGACAACAGGTCAGAAAGGTATGACGGAGTGAGACCGTGGATGGCCTTAAAAATAAATAGCAACACCTTCAACTTTACTCTCCACTGTACTGGCAGCCAGCATAGTGAACGAAGAACGGGGTAATGTGGGCATATTTGGGGATGTTAGAGAGCAGCCGGGACACAGCATTTTGGACAAGTTGCAGTTTCCGAAATAGGGGCTGGGACATGCCAGCATAGAGGGCGTTGCAGTAGTCTAGACGTGACGTGATAAAAGCATGAATAGCTTTTTCTAAATTAGGATGCGATAAAAAAGGCTTAACCTTGGCTAAAAGCCTTAAATGACAGAAGCTGGTTTTAACTACGGCCCTGATCTGCTTATCAAAGTTAAAGCCATTATCGAATATTACTCCAAGATTTTTAACAGAATCTTTGAGTGGGAGGGCTGAAACATTTAAACTGGGTGCAGTTGCAGTTGAATCAGGGCTAATGAACACACAGTGGGTACGGAAAGTATTCAGACCCCCTTAAATTTTTCACTCTTTGTTATATTGCAACCATATGCTAAAAGCATTTAAGTTCATTTTTTTCCTCATTAATGTACACACAGCACCCCATATTGACAGAAAAACACAGAATTTTTGACATTTTTGC